TTTGGTTGCCTTGGTTCTAGGGCTTTCTTTGATTCGACCAGTCAAATTGTTGTAGCCTCCCATACCTTTCTTGCCATTCCAGCTTCCTTTGCCTTTTCTTTCCTTTTTTGATTGTGCTTGCAATGCCACACCACTCTTCGACTTTCCTGCAACTCTCTCAACCATCTTTTGTTCATGAGACTGAAGCGTCCCTTGAAGCTCTTCCTTCGTCAATGTTGACAAGTCTTTCGATTCTTCTATGACTACTACTACGTGTTCGAACTTTGGAGCCAACGACCTCAAGATCTTTACAATAACTGACCTTGATGTCAACACTTCTCCACATACCTTGATTTGATTCACCAGCTTTGTAACTCTAGTGAAACAATCTGCTATACTTTCACTTTCTTCCATCTGAAGCAATTCGTAGGTTCTCTTGTGAGTTTGTAACCTCACCTCTTTCACCTTTTCTGCGCCTCCAAACGAATTTTCAAGAATCTCCCACGCTTCCTTCGCTGATTCTACATCACTAACTTTTTCAAAATTATCTGGACCGACACATTGGTAGATTATAAAGAGAGCTTTATAATCTTTCTTCTTCAATTCTTTGAATGCATCATTTTCTTGATCCGTCGCGTTTTCTACAAGCGGTGCTACTCCCCCTTTCACAAGATTCCAAAGATTTTGATAATAGAAAACCACCTTAATTTGCTTGCACCAGTTCTCATAATTATCTTTCTTGAAAATTAGAAGGTTTGCTGGAAAGTGACCGTTTGGATTCATCGCCATCACGATTTTCCTTCCTTGAATCGTAACCGGAGCTCTAGATAGCAGATGTTGGAAATTCAACCACAACCTATGGAGAATTCACTCAATCAATCTTGATCTCAAGATCGTTTCAACTCAGTAATGATAATGAAAGAAAAATCTAGAAAGAAAGAAATAAAGTAGACGTTAGAGAAGAAGAAAATGAACAATTTTCTGTAGAGAATTCTCTGTCCACAAACTGTGGAATTTCTGTTATTTCACTTACAACTGCAAACTGTGAATTACAAAACATGATGAGATGAGATGAAATATTTACAAAATAAAGGTTTCTCCCTATTTATAAATTTAGGTTGGCTTGCACCCAAAGGAAAAACTTAAACTATAAAAACCCAAAATATTTAATCTAATCTTTCTAAATTAAATATAATATTTTCTAAAACAATGAATTACATATTTAAAATTTTTTAAATAATTTTTTATTTTTTCCTTTTCTTTTTCCAAGTGTACCAAAACAAAAATATTTATTTACTCATAAAATAAAATTACTAAAAAAACCAAAACATTTATAAGAAAATAAATCAATTATGGAATGTGATAAAAGATGTTGGTAACTTAAGAGTTCTCTTTTGAAACATACACGTGGTAATTTCTTAATGGAAAATAAATAAATTGGAGTACTAGAAGTACACAATGAGTGAAAGTTTCAGTGTGTACTATAATGGCTCTAAATAAATTATTCTGTACTTATACTAGAAAGTAGAAATTAATCCGAAGATGTGTATTGAAGTTTGTTTAAATGTCTTTGTTTCGATTGAAGCAAAATTGGCAGCTTAGTGTACCAAACACACTCAGATTTGAATTCTCTAATTCAAGGCATTCTCACTGTAAACTGTTCCAACGACTCCCTTCATTTATTTTTGTCCCCATCCTTTCAATCTTTTCAATTTCATTACTCACACCATTTCATTTGACTAATTATGTATGTTATCTTAATATATTTAATTATCACAAGTATACAAAATTATATTATTAAGAATAATGAATATAATTTTAATTCAAAGATAAAAAGTAAAATTGCATTTAATTTTAAAATGGGTTTTCTTCTTGAGAAGTTTTGACAATGGAAGATCTAACAACAAGTTCCAATATTTTCTACCATAAAATTTTGTTTAGGAGTTTGAAGAGAAAGAGAATGGAGAGTTTCAAGAAATATATATATTTTAAATATAGAGAAAATTTTCATAATTAAAAAAAAAAAGGATTTTGTATATAATAATAAAAGAATGATTATAAATAATATTTTTTAATTTTTACAATATTATAACAATATATATTATATTTTAACAATTTATTTAAACTCTATAAGACCCTCCAAATTCCCCCACCAATATAATTTTGCAGTTCTTTTAAATTAGAATTTTTTTTTGTTTTAAAATAAAAATAAATATCTAAAATCCTCCACCTAAATTCTTTCTTTTTTGGGCTTGATGTTTGAAAAATTATCTACATTATGATCTTTCTTCTTAATTTTTTTGTCTTTTTTTATCTTCATGATTGAGAGAATGTAAATTTTAATCTCTCTTCCTAAAACACTTCATCCCTTTGTTCTCATACCCGGAAAGTATGAATTATGTATATTTCAAACTATTCTTTTAAAATATTTAGTTAAGTTTCGAAGTTAGACATAGAATAATGTATTTCAATTTAACTTATTAAAAAAAAAACTAGATCGAATAACTTCTAATGGGGTGAAGTAAATGAGCCACCTAAAGTGGATACACCATTTATACAAAAAGCAAATTTGAACAATTAAATAGTCTTTAAGACCAGTCTCAGACATACAAATATGAGATTCAATTTTCTTTAGTATTTTGTCGTAAATAATTAGTAACAAAGAAAATTCTATATCAATTGATAATTACGACAAACAGCACGATTCTGACTAGCCTAACATCTGTAGAATTATCAAACATCATACCCTACATTTGATAAGTTTTTTTTTTATTTTTAAAAATATACGTTCAAACATAAATGAGTTAATACCTATTCTCCTCCGTCATATTGATCATTTAAAATAAAAATTTGTAAAAAAAGTTTGATGAATTCTTCTAACATTTGAATTCTCTCATTTTTTACCTTCGTCAGACCAACTCATAAAAAAATTGATGTGACACTATTTTTTATAGTTTTTTCATTTTATCTAATTTTCACATGTATATTTCATTTTGTAAGATGACACAAATGCCCCCAAGTAAAAACAAAACGTTTAGATATGTAAGATCAATAACATATCTCAGTGTCAAAGGGATATGCAAGATCAATAAAATGATAATTGACAATTGAAATGAAATATCAAATTTATCTCAATAACAACATCTAAATCTTACAATCTTAATTCTTAATGATCAATTATAAAAGCATAACTCAACAAGTATTTCTCGAGAATGTGTTTAGCTTCTTCAGGATCAACACTCCCACACCCGATCTCGTACAAAGTTCCACAATCAAAATCAGTCTCATCCACTTCCAGTTTCAAACCTTTCCAATCATAAACATTCCCCACGTTCCGAAAATCTCCCAACCTTAAAAACCCATTTTCAGCCACCACTCTGAATTCCTCCTTCACCCTTTTTCAGAATCCTCGACTCCAATAAACCTAACTTCCCCCGTTCAGCTCAACAACACAATCACGACCAACCTTCGAATCCAAATCCTCTCCACCTTCTTCAACGTGGCTCGCAGCATCGATAAGAGATTTCAGATGCGGCGCAGTCAAAGAAGAGGTTGTGTTGGTGATGGTTTATGACATGGAAGGGAGAGAGCAAAATGGTGATGTGGCGATGAGATTCTGCGTTTGCGAGACGAATCTTCACTTCGACTTCCATTTTGAATGAGGGTAGAGAGAGGGAGCAGATTGGAAAAATGTTAGGATTAGAGGCCGATGCGATTCGCTTTGGAAGATGGATCTTCTGTGCGATCAAATTGACGGAGAAGAGTAGTAGCGTCAGTGGTGGTTATTATGGTATTGGTTATTATGGTGTTGGTGGCAGTGATGGTGGTGTTACGACGACGAGCTTCTTTGAGTTCTTCCTTGTCTTCAATCTTCACTTCGACCTCACTTTGATTTTACATGAGTTTAATTTTCAACAAACCGTTTGGTTTTATTTTTACATGGGACATTTGTGTCATCTTATAGATTGAAATATATGTGTGAAAATTAGATTAAATGAAAAAATTATAAAAAAACAGCACAAATCAACTTTTTTTAATGAGTTGTCCTGACGAATGTAAAAAATAAGAGAATCTCTAAATAATGGGGGCATTTATCATTTTTCCAAAATTTTTTTTTCCGAAAATAACTCATAACATGGAGAAAATAAGTATTAATAACATAAATTAATATTTTTTTTCTACTTTTAATCGGTTAGTTTTTAGCCATAATAATCATGATAATAATATAAATTAAAAAGAATAAAATTTAATAAATATAAAATTAATAAGTCATATTCTCTCTTTTATAGTGCACACATCCTTCTCTATTATCTCAACATTGTGTTGGTTTACTCTTCCTTATGATGAGGATATATACAAATTAAAATCATATAAAACCATCGTAAAATTTATATTTTAAAATTTGTTCATAAAACCATTGTAAAATTTATTTTTTAAAATTTAGTTCATAAAATTTTGGCAATCTATTCATATAAAACCATCGTAAAATCTATTTTTTAAAATTTATTTTTTAAAACCATTGTAAAAAAATGACACATTAATAAATAAAAAAAAAACAATTTCCAAAATATTGGCAATCTATTCATTGCAATAATCAAGAAAGACAAATTATAGTATATATTTTAAAACTATTTAAATACATTTTATATATCATAAAAAAAGAAAATACTTTTAACAAATTGATAGATTAAATTAAATCAAAAGTTACCGTAAAAAAAAATCCTTATACAGAGAGAAAATTCTAATTAAATATTGTAATAATTCTAGTTGGTTATTTTAAAATACTGTATGAAAGAACCAAAAGAGACAAACATGAGGACACAAAGCCGTGCTTTGCTGTGTATGTATGTATGAGATCTACTCACTCTCTCTTTCTCTAACCGAGCTTCTTCATTCTTCAACGCTGGATCACCGGAACACTCTCTTTTCCGGTCACCGGAACCACCGTCATTTCCTATGTTTCCGGATCAGTTACATTTCTAACTAACTAACTCACTCACTCTGATTGAATCATCCAAAAAATGTTTAGATGGAGGAGTGAGAAAAACAAGGTCAAAACCGTTTTCAAACTCCACTTCCATGTCACTCAGGTGTCTGTTCGTTAACTTCTTGGCATTTTTTCTTAAATAACTTTCTAATTCTTATTCAATTCCTTTAATGATATGTAACTGTATTATCCATTATTAATTTGGTGAAATGAGTTTCTTTATTTATTTATTTTTTTAATTTTTTTTAGGATTTTGTTTTGGTAATAATGTTATGGTTATGGTTATGGATTGGAATGAATTTCAGGTGGTGCAATCTGGTGTGGATTCTTTGGTACTTTCTATAGTTCCTGGAGATATTGGAAAACCTACTACCAGATTAGAGAAAGCGGTAATAAACAATGGAGTTTGTAAATGGGAGAATCCTGTTTATGAAACTGTTAAGTTTATTCGTGACCCGAAGAATGGGAGATTCGGTGAAAGAGTTTATTATTTTGTGATTTCGACGGTATATTATGAGTTTTTTTTTCTTGTTGACTTGTTGGTTGTGTTTTGGTATGTGAATGTGGTGTTGTTAGATTGTGATTTGGTTTTTGTATGGGTTGTGTTATGTGTAGGGTTTATCCAAAGCTAGTACTTTTGGGGATGTTTCCGTTGATTTTGCTGATTATGCAGAAGCTGCGAAGATTTCGTCGGTTTCTCTTCCCATCAAGAATTCTCATTCTGATGCTGTCTTGCATGTTAGTGTTTGATCTTGCCGATTTTGTGCAACTTTGCTTTTAGTGGTTCTGATTTTTTTTTTTTTTTTTGCGTAATGTGCAGGTTTCAATCCAGAGACTGCAAGAGAATAATGATAAAAGGTATGAGGATTCTTCTGATTAGTTTTTTGGTTTTACGGGTAATGGTATAGATTTTGCCTCGTGCTCGACTGGTTTTTATGACGGATTTGGTTCTTGTTGATTAACATTTGCAGAGAGGAAGAGGAATGTGAAGATATGAAATTAAAACTGAATGATAAGAGCTTAAGGACTTATTTAAGCAATGGAGATGCGGTTTCACGCACTAAAAGTGATTCTTCTGAAGTAAGGTTTCACTCATTGGGCCAAGGAGTTATTGCAACTTTACTTTTACTCAACATATATGTATGAACCTAATAAATTTCATTTTTTTTAGATTTCACAGGATGTGTCTGGCAATGGAAACTCAGAAAGAGCTGGATTGAGTGCTGATTGTAGGACATCTAGTGGATCTGACATTACATTGTCAAGTTCCGACGGAAGCTCTGGACTTGATACTCCTCGAGAACTTGGGCTAAGAAATACCAGCGTCCATCCCGCAAAAATTGGTGTTCCTTCGGTCACTAGCCACATTTCAGAACCTCAAAAACCTGCGGTAAATGCTTTATCATCAATGTATGATGTACATCAGAGATCGTCGCACTTCCGAGACTCTTCAGCCGGTTCAGACATTGGTCTCAGTACGGAAGGTTCAATACATGGCTCTCAGGATGCTCTTCATAGGGAAAGATCCCATCAGGCATCCGATATAGAGAATGAAAAGCTCAAGGCTGAGATTGCTGTTTTGGCAAGGCAGGTGGATGTGTCAGACATGGAACTTCAGACTCTTCGAAAACAAATCGTAAAGGAGAGTAAAAGAGGGCAGGAACTTACAAAGGAAGTTATCAGCTTGAAAGAGGAAAGAGATACACTCAAGATAGAATGCGAAAACTTCAAGTCTTTTCGCAAACGAAGGGACGATGCCAAAGTGAGTAGCAGGTCACTATTGGAAAGCGGGGATCTTCATACTCTTGTTGAAGAAATCAGACAAGAATTGAATCATGAGAAGGACATGAATGCAAATCTCAGACTACAGTTAAATAAGACACAGGAATCAAATGCCGAACTAGTTCTCGCCGTTCAGGACCTCGATGCAATGTTGGAGCAGAAGAATAATGAAATACTTAGTCTTTCCAATAATTACAAACAGGCTAAGAACTCCCATGGTTTTGGGAGAAATGTCTCTAATTGTGAAACAGACGACGATGAACAAAAAGAATTGGATGAGCTTGTTAAGAATCCAAATAGTCCGAAGGAGACACACTTACTCGAGAAAAAAATCACGGATCTCTATGGTGAAATAGAGATGTATAGGAGAGACAAAGACGAGTTAGAGATGCAGATGGAGCAGCTTGCACTGGACTATGAAATTTTGAAACAGGAAAACCATGACATTGCGTATAAGCTGGAACAAAGCGAACTGCAAGAACAGTTAAAACTACAGTATGAATGCTCTCCTCCTCCTGGCATAGACGAATTCGAAGCACATATCCAGAATCTGGAAAATAAACTCAAGAAACAGTCGGAAGAATTCTCAAATTCTTTGGAGACCATCAAGTCTCTTGAGAACCAAATTCACAGATTAGAGGAGGAACTGGAGAAACAAGTGCAAGGATTTGAATCTGATTTAGATTCAGTGACACATGACAAAGTTGAGCAAGAGCAAAGAGCTATCCGAGCAGAAGAAGCTTTGCGATGCACCAGACTTAAAAATGCTAATACTGCAGAGAGACTTCAAGACGAATTTAGAAAGCTGTCAATGCAAATGGCCACGACGTTTGAGGCAAATGAGACGGCTACCATGAGAGCGCTTACGGAAGCAAGTGAACTTCGCATGCAGAAAAAACTATTGGAGGAAATGTTGCGTAAAGTCAAAGAAGATCTTCAGTCAGTCAAAGCTGATTATGAAGTAAAACTGAATGAACTTTCCAACAAAATAGATACCATGACAGTTCAGATGCAACAGATGTTGCTGGCAATTGATGACAAGTCCATGCAACTTGAAAATCAAAAAAAGCACGAGGAAATTGTTGGCAGGGATTTCTTCGAGGAGATCCAGTTGCTAAAAGCTGAGAATGAAAAGCTTACAGTGGAAATCTCATGCTTATATGAGCAAGTAAAACAAAAAGAAGTCTCAAGTTCTGACTTGGAACTTATGAAGAAATCACTCGAGGAATATGAGACCTTGTTAAATACTCAAAAGGAAGAGCGAAACGAGCTTGTGAGTACAACTGCTCTGTTGAAGAAGGAAGCAGAACAGTCACTTGATGAGCTAAATAGGATGAGGCATCTCAAAGACCAAGAAGAGAAAGTGGGTAAACTCTTGCAATCAGAGTTAGAAGCACTTAAAGCTCAATATAGTGACCTGAAACGTTCTCATATTGATGATGAGACTGAGAAAGAAATACTAAGAAAACAAAATTTCCATCTTAACGATGAACTGAAGAAGAAGGACGATGCATTAACCAAAAAAAGTGCTTCAATTTCTCAGAACTCCAAAGAAATGACAAATCTGAAAGAGAAAATAAAAACGCTTGAGGTAAATTTACAAATCTCAGTGATTTGAGAAGATATGTTTTGAGTAAAATGCATGATAATCAAATATTAAGTCCGCTTTATATATTTTCATCTGCAAATCATTATTTTCACTCCACTGCATTTTTCCTAGGATCGAACTAATTTACTTTTGAAAAATGATTGTTGGCAATTTAAATGGTTTTTTTTTTTATGGCAGGACCAGATAAAGTCAAAGGAGATTGCCTTGGAAAAATCAGCTTCTTCACTTTTGGAGAAGGAAAGGGTGCTTCAATCCAAAATTGAGGAACTGGAGAACAAAGTGGAGGAACTCAATCAGAGCATCAAGGTATACTAATTTGTACATTGCGACACTTAATGTCTTAAACTTTATGCCAATGTTATGATTTCTTTTAGCATATTACTCAATTAGCATATCCATCAAAGTGCGTTAATGAATGACGGAAATAAGAGAATGTCAACATTTTCCCGCATCATTTATGATTTGTCTTTAGCAACGTTTCATAGTATTTTTGGTTACATGAAATGTAAATTATAACACATGTCTTGCTCGGTATCTTGGTTAAGATTTTATCACTGAATTGTTGGTTTGTGAATTATGACATAAATATACATTGTGGTATGTGCATCAAACAGGTTGCTGCGGATAAGAGTTTTACTACTACAAACGACAGATCTGAAAAAGTAAGAAGTTCAATTGAGCATCTCAATAATGATACTTCATGCATCTCGGACGAAAATGGGGCTGTAATGTCATCACTCAAGAGGTTTGATTACTTTCAATACCAATTTGTGAGTTGAAGTTATTGAATTGTTTCAATTTTGATCATTTTCTGAACATGACAGTCACGCACATTTGTCCGAGAAAGAAGCGGAAAAACCAGTAATAGACAATAACAGCAATGTCCGACTCAGTGATGTTTTAACAGAACTATCATCATTGAAAGAAAGAGACAACTCAACGAAAACCGAACTAAAAGAGTTGCAAGAAAGATACTCAGAAATGAGTCTCAAATTCGCAGAGGTCGAAGGCGAAAGACAAAAGCTTGTCATGACAGTAAGAAGCCTCAAGAATGCTAGGAAGGGATAGAATTTTCTTCCTGCTATTGTATAGTTGCTGCACTGAAACAGTTTCAAATGAATAATTTATTGTGTGCCAAGTTATATATACATCTTATTCCTTTTTTCTACTCCTTTTATAGAGTTATCATAGCAGTTTGACAGAGTTTTTAAGGTCTAAATAGTGCTCTCTCTCACTACAATATTCCAGTTAGATCTGGTGATGATTTGTTTTTTCTTTTTCGCGGTAATATAATAATATTCTTTTATTGTACTATCCTTTAGTTGATATAATACAAATGAGAACATTACTTTTTGTGTAATAGGACATTTTTTTCTGCATTTATTTACCTATGTTTTTTTTTTTAATCTGTATTTGAATTTGATTTATGTTTCATGACAAGAAGACATAATTTTGAATATTGATCATAAAGTTTTCACGTGTAGGATGAGATAGTTTTATGGCTAATATTGACCTTAAGAAATATTTTAAGACAAATGAAATGTAGGGATTGGTGATTGAAGAATATTTTGGACCCCCCTCTGGTATATACAAAATTGCAGAGAATGCATAGCACACCAATGAGGGAAGTGCAAATTTTGTGGTCTGAAAAGGATTATATAGCTTGTCTAGTGGTTAGGGTGTTAAATCCAAATATCAGTGTTTTTATTCTAACAATTGATATCTGACCTGGAGAGTAGAAGTGTAGCTGGACCTATCTATGAACATAATTGAATAATGGAGTTAGGTGGCATGCCAGGGTGGTGCAAATGTACTAATATGATATATTAACATTTGGAAATATATGGTTTTAAATATTTAAAGATATTGAGTAAAAATAATATCAACTCGTTTTTTTTTTTTTTTTTTCAGACTCCTCTCTATTAAGTTTTCGGACTCATCCACATTGCTTATTTCTATTAAGTAGTAGCATCATCAAGGTCGGTGGTTTTATTGGTTTGAGTGTTGGTGTGGATGATGGTCAATGCTTGAGTTTGCTCTATAAATGTGTTGGTAACTCTCTAATTGTTCTTTTAAATATCAATAAAGATATTTTAATAAATTTAACTTGTGTTTTACCTACTTTGAGAAAATGAACAGAGAAACTATGATAACAGCGGAAATAATATTGATCAGAATAGATAACAGACAAGAGACTTCGCTATTCAAGCACGTAGGAAAAAGACTTTCTTTACTTATAGATAAAAACTATAATATAGAATCAGAAGTATAGTAGTTATGCAACAACCACAAAGATTCTTAATCTCTTAAGATTTTTAAGATAAACAAAGATGAGAAATCTTAAGATCTTATGCAATGACAATTTCAAATAATAGCTCAGAGTCTGAGCTATCATCAGAGGCTAAAACACCATGACCAGAGTTTGAACTTTCAGAGGTTAATGAACACATTTAGAGTTATCATATTCTGACCATCAGAGTCTGAGTTACATTGCTTCTCCACAGATGCATTTATCAAGATCAATTCACAGTTGAATTCTAAGCTTGTAAACCTTCACACTTGTGAAAGTGACGGATTCTAAGATCTAAACTTTTTTAATCAAAAACACTCAAAGATGAAACAAGAACAAAAATAAATGAAAACAAATATGTTTATCCTACTTCACTATTAACGAAGTTAGTCCAGTCCACCCGCAAAGGTGATTTCGTCTTATCAACAAGAACTTAATCTACTACAATCATCTAATTACAAACACACAAAAACAACACGTCAATGTCTTCTTGAGGATCCTGACTAAACCTTAGTCTACTAAGGAATACAAACACAATCAATGAGATATAAGAAATGTGTTTACATGATTGCTTCTAAGAAAGCAGGTTACACAAATTTTAGTATAATGAATTTATCACACAAAAACGAACAAAAGCTTTATGTGTGTTTTACTTTCTATATTCACAAAAATAATGTCCAGTTCAACAAAAGCATTGTGAGATATTGGATAAGCGTTCAAAGCAACATTTTTTAATTCTTCCAAGTGTTCCTTATATAGGCAAGGAAAGATCTGTTGGAGAGTGTGGATGGAAATCTTCACAAATAAGCTGGCACCTTGCATAATGGTATGCAAAGATGGGAGACAAAATGGTACAATAGTACAATCCTTATTCCACGAAATTAGCGTAGTGGAAGGAATATTTGATTTTGTACAATGTACTATTTTTCTCACGTAAAACCTTTTGATCTTATCTTCAATCTTCAAAGGCTTCTGATAAGTAGGTGATGAAACATTCATAAGAGAATAATACGAATCTGGTTGAGAGAATCATCAGAACCTTTGGTCTTTAGAGTCTTGATCCATTTCCTTAGAACCTGATCTTCAGAGTCTGTTGACAAAGTTTAGACTTGATTGGAGCGCAGAGCTTCAAACGTAACAACTTCAGAAGCTTCAAAGTGTCAAAGGTTTGGATGAGCATAGAGTCAAATGCGTTAAAGTATAGAATCCATAGCTTGAATATCTTGAAAACCATGTTTCTCAAAGTCAGAGTGCACTAAGTTCAGAATCTGATGACATCACATGTTGTTCATTTAGAGTCAGAACTTGAGTCTAGTATTTGTACACTAAACAAATTGATTAAGGTACAAAATTGTTCTCTAAAACACTATGTATTATTATCATCAAAACATAAGGCCAGATATATAACTAAATCTTGTTCTACCAATATCCCTCTTTTTGATGATTACAAAATCATATATTTTAATGAACAATTTTTACAAGATTTAATCACATAAAAAATATTAGAGTGCGGGTTGTAAACTCCCTTAAATTTTATGCTATTAAAATTATTTTTCAGCTTACAACTTCAACTTTTAAATAACTTCTCTAAACAAGAAAAAAGTCACCAACACTGAATCCTCCTAAAAGTTCCCGATACTCATTAGGCATCTTTTGGAACCCATATTTTAAACTCTCCCTGCAGTCCCTTCCAAAAGCCACACGCAAAATAACATTATTTGTGTATTGTCCCAACATCTTAGACAAATCGGTAATTATTGAATAAAATCCTGCAACCCTTAGAACTAGACTAGAAACTTAGAGCTTATTTAATTGGCTTTTAAAAAACAATATTCTCTTTTTAAAAATTAAAAAATTGTAAAATTTGTTTGGTTTAGTTATTTTTGAAAATTGTTTCTTAAAACTGTTTTCAATATTGTTGTTTTCAAAACAGAAAAATGAAAACTAGTGTAACCTATTTTGATTTTCAGTATTACTATTCCAATCTCTTTTTAAACTAATCTCTTTTCAAATTGAAAAATGAAAACTAGTATAATCTGTTTTAATTTTCAGTACTGTTATTAATGACAATTTAGTAAATAAATAAAATAAGAGTAATGCTAATTTATGCCTTTGAAACACAAATTAAAGAATTCAGATAAAAATTTTTTTTAAGAAAAATAATAAAATAATTAATTATAATCTTTTATTAATTTTAAATACACAATTTTCAATAAATTTTCATTATATTTATCTCGCGTCTCAAATACACACATTATCATTACCCCAATGACACAAATTACCATTACTCTTAAATGTTATTTTTAGCATGCAGGTGTAATTATATTACATCATCATTATATTCTAATAATAATAATAACCAATATTTTATTTTAACAATTACTACTATATAATCAAACTAAATCATATGTTTAATTATAAAATATTTATGTTATTTGTTTTATTTAGTGATTGGATTTTATATTTAACTAGAGGTAGTCTAATAATTAATTATGATAATTTTTTTTACTCTATATTAGTTTATCAATTATAAATAGTTTTTGTCTCAATTTTATTTAGTAACTAAATTGTGTATTTGTGTATTTAATTTTATATAATTCAAATTTTATTTCTAAATATAATAAAAATAATTTTCATTTATATCAGTTAATGAAATAATTTTTAAAAGTCAAATAATCAAATGTACTTTTTTACCTCTAAAACTACTTTTAAAATTTTGTTTACCAAATAATTTTTTTATTTTTCATTTTCAAAACAGTTTTGAAAAATTATATTATCAAACAAATTTCTTTTATATTCTTTTCTTTAAAACACTTATTTAAAACATTTTTATAATACAAAATTTCAAAAGTAAAAAACAAAACTAATTCAAACAAACCCTTATTCTTTGACAACACTATATAAATTTAGTCTTCTGACACTTAGAAAGCTCAAGTAAGCAAAATTTCCTCAAATACCTCCAATAAGCAATGTGAGGAACAATTTGGCCATTGTTATAGGTCCAGTGTAGCTGGATTGAATTAAGACATTTTGGAACTTTGTTACAAATTGCTACTCTAAGTAGTAAAAAAAAGAGTATAGGAGTTTCCGGTACAATAACATTAGGATATGTATGTATCTAGGTATGACATACTGTAAACTCATTCATTCATAAGTGGAATTTAAAAATGAGAAAAGAAATTTTGACAGTGTTACACTACACCGTATTTCACTGTTCACCAATACAATAATACGGTGAACAGTCAAATATTATAAAAATAAATATATTTTTTTTAAAAAAATATAAAAAAATATTTTTTTTATTTTTAAATTAAATGATACTGATATAAAATTGTGTGATTAACCAACTTCATAACTCTATTAATCAATATTTTACATATTATTAACCAACTTTATTTACTGTTAAAAATTATTTTTAATTCTGGGTGTTTATTAAACAACTTCATCACTTCATTAACCAACTTTTTATACTTCATTAACCAACTTTGTTTCATAATTTAAAAAATTATTCACGAATACTGTTCACGAGCACTGTTCATGCACTGTTCATGATACTGTTCATACTATTGTGACACTGTTCATGTATTGTTTACCGTATTAGTGAAGAGCACATACGGTGTAGTGTAAAAGTGGGTGTCAAAATAGCATTGCTGTTTAAAAATTCTTAATTATTTTTTAAACTTCATAAAAACATAATTTAAATATTCTGAATTATTTTTAAAATTTTGTAAAAAAAATTAAATTTCACAAAAAAAATTTAATATTCTTAATCATTTTT